CTGGCTTTTGGAGTCATTCTAAAAGGTTATTGGCTAACACGGGGGAACCTGTACAAGTATCAACAGAGTATTATGAAACTCTCCCTTTTTTTGATCAAACAAATAATTGCATATGTATACAGTGCAAAAACAGATCAGAATTATAGACGGATTTGAGTAGTCTGTATGCTCTCTGTTTCTACCTCTGCACTCCATTCCTTCATCCCTCTCTCATCCCACTCTCACTCTCAACATGATGGGTTGTGTCCAGTCAGCGGGCAGCTTTAGTGTAATTTGGCCCACAGGGACTGTTGGCAGTAGGTGTGGGGATAAAGGGAGCAGCGATGGTGGAGCTTGGAGGAAAGCAGGCTTAGTGTGGGGCCTTGGATGGAGGGGGCCAGGAAGCACATAGGAAAAGCATTAAATAAACATTAATGTAACTAGGTTACAGGAGATTTATTGAGGAAGCTTTTTGGGCCCCCACTGCAAGGTTTTATGCAGCACTTTAATAACTCTCTCATGCACACAGGTAAACAAACCAGGTAATTTATTGCCATCCTCATAGGTGGCCATTGTGAAAACTGTTTTAACTTTGTTTTGGCACATACCTCGAGTTTTTCCTCTCCTCCGTTAGCTTTTATTACAAAATTGAATAGCTCCAAAAACCTTTTTTACATCTGGGGTAAGTCTGACTTGGATATGATTTTGATGTCACTTTGTGGTGTTAAAAATGAGTGCCCTTAATCGCAGCTTACTGATGTTAAATGTACCCTCTCTGGCATGTCAAACACACAGATAAAAAGTGACTGATTAAAGACAGTAATGAGGACACTGTGGCAGGACAAAGAACTAATTCTAGATTTTTACAAGGACAGGCTGGGGTTTTATAGGAGACAGGAGAAACAGAAGAGTTGAGAGGGAGAATTATAAAAACATGAACTAGCAGAGCACTGCCATCACATTTTACATCTGACATTGTCTTTGTAAATCAACACTGTCAGATAAGACGCTGTCAGAAAATGGAGTTGTGCAAGTCTACCCTGAGTGTGTTATGTTTAGTGACTTGCTGTTATTCCATCAGCACCTTTTCAACTATAATTGTTTATCCTCCAGCTGTGCCAGCTTCAGTTATTTAAATAGTCTTTAAACAGTCATTCATAGGCTTACAGACAGTTAAGAAGGATGAGGCTTAGAGATACTATTTAAAATGTTCAAATCTAATCAATATCATAATAAACCAGTTAGGAATCCACATACATCTTTAGTTGTATCCATATTTAAAAGATGGAGCCCCCAAGCAATCGTCTTGCTTCAGGTTGCTGAGGTGCAGTGCACAGGGAGGGCAAGCAGCTAGAAGGGGAGAGCGCAGACTGACAAACAGGGTCGGGGCAACTAAAGGCTGCATGATGCTTTACCTGGAGACCCTTCGCCTCTGCTCCCTGCTCTGCCTCAAGCCCAAGTGAATACCAGAGACACCTCAGACAGCATACCTCTGAAAGTTCACTCTGAGTAGAAGAGAAAGAAAAATAAGTTTTTGTTTTAGAGAGAGAATGGTATGGAGGGAAATTCAAGGGGAGGTGTAGAAATAATTATAAAGGGAATGTGTTCAAAAGAGTGGTGGACAGGAAGAAAGGAGAAAAACATAGAACAAAGATGTATCTTTGGAGAAGGAGAGTCAATAAAGGCTATTAGAAACTAAGGGAAAGGAACGAGTAACAGACAAGCTGACAGAGGGACATTACAACATTGGGTGTGTGACTGCATTTTTTTTAAAGTACAATGTGTGTGTGTGTGTGTGTGTGTGTGTGTGTGTGTGTGTGTGTGTGTGTGTGTGTGTGAGTGTGTGTGTTGCCTGTTCATCCTGTGTCAGTATGTGTGTTTGATGAAGGCTCCAGCTCCGGTTGTGTTGCTGCAGGATAGTGTGTGTCAGGCTCCATCAATATGACATGTCTTTGATGTGGAAATACAAGGAGCAAAAGCCCAGTCAGTCCAGTCCCCAGCGGGACACATCTACCACTGTGTATTTCAGTGTGTGTGTGTGTGTGTGTGTGTGTGTGTGTGTGTGTGTGTGTGTGTGTGAAAGAGACTAAGCGGGGGAGAGCATGGAAAAAGAAACAGAGCCACAAGCCAAGACAAGCACCAAAAAATAAACACTGCCTCAATATTTTACTAATGTTTATCTTACGTTAAATCATACAAGGGTGGCAGCAGTTGTGACCCGAACATCTACAAACTAAAGGCAGTGTGGACTCTGCTGCTGAGAGGAATCAATATCGTATACAAATCACCATGCAATATCAACATCTCTGTTACTGCTAATTTGACACATTAATGGTTGGATCGCTCTCTGGCATGAACCTGTTGCTGATCTTTGTTTTCATTAACATTATACATATTTGTGCTTTCTCATTTTATTTTATTTTTGAGGAAATCTTCCATTCACAGCGACTAGGAATTAAGAAGGGGCATGTTAAGTGAAGCATAGTCTAGTACTTGGAACTGGCTGTGATTGTTTTATTAGATGAAGCACTGAAGTTATGTTCACACATAATTGACACAGAAATATATACAGTATATATTGTGTTTTATTTAACCAGAAAAAGCTTTACAGAGATTGACAAATGAACTTAAAAGTCTACGGGCAGAGCAGTAGCAGTACGTCATGGGGAATTTCAGATACAAAAACATATAACAGTTTTAGAAAATAACATTCCACGTCAGACCATGACTATACCAAAAGATAAGATTTGGGTCATCATCATCATCACATGGTTTGGTTTGTGGCAGATTGGTCCCTAGAAATGGATTTATTCCTCTCCAAGGGGCCTTTTCAAGACGTTACCAAACAAAAAAACTTAAATACATTACAACTCTGTCAGAAGTTTGGATGTTGAAAATATATCTTTCTTTGGCAAAGTTTAATTTTACATCCAAACGTAGGGCCTGTGGGTTTTCACACATAAGTGCAGTGAGGGGGAGGTGGACAAAAGGAGAGATCAAGACAAGCTGACAGAAACAGGGGGGATACATCAGGTCCAGGCAGACAAGGAGATAGAGATAGGGAAGAGGAGAGACAGAAGGATGAGTCCATCCATCGGGCCGGTGTGTGGGCTCGGTGCGAACCTGGACTTTGGTGAACACTAGCACGCAGGGAGTTATTCCAACCAGCCGACCCTGTCAGGGCTTTTTTCTCTGTCAGCTACAAAAAGCCTATCCGTCCATACACACTTACATAAGAGCACAAATACATCACATTTGTACAGGCACATATGACTGTATTCATGTGGGGAAAATGTGAGTTACACATGTGCCTAAAGAAACCTCTCTGAACATGGACATATGCAAAGATGACAGGACAAATTATGAATAAATGGCATAGTAGACAAATCTGGGACCTTCACATGATCATTGCATAGTGTTAACAAATAACAGTATATTATAACTGTTTAACCTTGACACACAATCACAGGCGTCATGTTGTATCACCAGCTTGTGTATGTTGCCAAGGCGACTGCATATGCCACTTATTGTGTCTATTTGTACCTGTGATGCTGTGAGCAAGAGGCAGCTGCCTTAATATGTTAGCAACACATTCAGAAGCACAATTGAACCATGCTTGTCTCTACACGGACCCTTCAAAAATCAATGTTTATGTCTGTATTAAAAGCCTTTTTTCTCAACACTTACACTGAACACAGATATCAAGTATTATGGGATATTCAGGATTTATGGACATTTACTGTGAAATGAAATGGTGCCCAAACTGTCTAAAAAACTATGATATCGACACATAAGCTGAACTATTAAGTTTTGGTTTTATTGAGAATATTACATTTATTAGCTTGTTGCATCAGGAAACATAGAAGTGTTCTCTCTGAAACCAAAGGTCCATCCATCCATCCATGATCGGCTATTTTATCAGAAAGGTTGTAAACAATCTCATAGGATTATCAAAGGTAAATTGAATGTCAACTTTGACAAAGTGGTGCACGCTCACCATTTTCCTCTTCAACGAGGAATAGCTAATAGAGTGGCGATACTGCCATAACATAATGTTTCATATTTCTGATCAGCTGACTGCTCATTCATGTTGGTCTGTTAGGCCTATTTAGGGAGTGTTGCCACGTTGTGAGATCTCAGCACTTACCTTTAAGTACCATGTTTGGTGACCAATGGAACAGATGCCTATACAAATAAAACAAAAAAAACACATTTAAAAAATCATAGTCATAAGCTTTGAGCTATTATAGAAAATATAAATGTAATAGCTAAAGACACTTAAGAATAACCATTAATATTATTAAAACAAACACACAGTTTAAAATAATGATAGTTATTTTTTGTGTCTGCCTTTGTGAGCATGTGCAGGCATGTGTTTATATGTTAGTTTATATAGAGTATATATATGTATATGTATGTGTTTTTGTATGTTGTGCAAAGTTATGTAGTCTTAGAGTGTCCAAGTGCAGTCTCCATGAGGTCAGTGGCTGCTGTGATAATGCTTAACTGATGTCGGCTGTCAATAGCCATTCACCAGGAGAAAAGTGCTCGCCTGTTCAGTAAATTACACAGTGCGACGTGAGCTGTGAGGTTCAAAACAACCTGACCCCACTGTTGTTGGGAGAAACAATAGAACAATGACTGCAATCAGCTTTTCCAGCAACCATCTGTGTCATGCTGCTGACTACAAAACACCTTTCCATTACTCCAGGGCTGCAGCTATTAGCTCACCATGCCATTGACTCCAAAGTGAGTTGGAGAGGTTATTGTAATGGCACATTAAATTGTCTCTGACCCTTCTTTATCCAGTGTTTTGTTTTGTTGACCTTGACATAGGTGGGCTTTTGAATGCTGTAGTCTAAAGCCTCTGAAGTGATCATTTCTTACAATGGCCTGGTTTGTCATGGATGAACATATTGGTGTGGTGTCATTACATTGATGATTACAGTGCCTTTGAATATACTCAGTCTGTGTTTGATGTTGTACTCCATTTTTCCTTAACCCTGTTTTCTCACGGCTTCTCCAAGCATTCAAGGGAGCAGTATGAAAAACTGTCAACGATGCACAAGAACATGCAAAAGCTCTACGAGAATATAGGCAGTTTTTTGGCCTTTGACCCCCACTCAGTCAGTGTGGAGGATTTCTTTGGACAGCTCGCCAACTTCCGCCTGCTCTTCTTGGTGAGTATATGCTTTATGGTTTGTGCATATGGACATACACTTTATGGAACGGTTTTGACGGTTCCTTCAAAGTAGACACATTCAGACTGACAGAAGCCACCACCCACACTTGCACATTATGTTGTATACACTTTCACTTGCTCACACACATTGGATGTCAGTGAAATGTGAACAGAATGTGCGCATTAATATGCACGCATCATACTTTCAGTAGGTCTTAACCGATGGAGAAAATATTACAGTGTTACTCTTATGGATGGAACTCATATTCTCAGCAGGATTGCATGCATACAAATGACTAATTTACGAGAATACAAAACTGACAGCTGAAGAAAAATGTCTCTAGTTAGATGTTGAACTCTTTATAATATAATTGTAGCATGATATGATTGAGAAGATTTCTACAAAACATACATATGTGACATGCATGGGCTGATTACCTCTTATTTGGTATCACTTAGCAGCTTAACAACTGAACCTGACCGATCTGTATCACATCATGTCGCTCATTACAACCACATATCAAACTGTATGCACCAGGCAGCATAGGAACAGTATACATTTAAAATAAATGAGCCTTGGGAGATACAGATTACATGCAGCCTCTTACTGGGGGGCTGGTTGGGCATATTTATATAAAAAGGTATGTTTTTGATTTATTATGTTGGCTATTATTTAGCTATAGCCAGTAACTCCAGACATCTGTTTTTGAAATGTAATTGAGTTGAAGGCACACACTCATCTCAGAAAACTCTATATGTTTATCCTTAATATTGACCATAGTTTTAGACCACAACCGAAAGTGAAAGATCCTTTTTAAAACAGAAAACGCGTTGTCTTCATAGTGTGTCACTGTGGCCAGCCCTTGCAGGCCTGTGTTATGACAGATCTGCTCCAGAGACACAGAGGACATTATACAGCTGTAATCTGGGAGTGAACAACAAGGATAGAAACATTGCCTTACAGTCATCTCATATTCCACTTAGAGTTGTGCCTTTGAGGCAATCTACTTCTACTTTCAGTTCTGGAGATGACTCTGCTTTCCTCATATCAAACTGCCATAAGGTTTTCTTGTGTGCAGCATATTTTCTGGCCACCTATTTGGATTTTTATATTCCTTTGTTGGCCCTGACATCCTTTTCAATTTTATTTTAAGTCCTTGCACTTTTCTCTGAAAGAATGTGCATGTGCTCCCCTGCTGAGTGATTTCCTTCTATATGTCATATTTTATTAGGTCATAATGCCACTGTGGCTCAAACGATTTTTCTTTTTAGGTATCAAAGAGGTAACCTCTTTTTTTGTCATAGAGGTTTTTATTTGATTTTGTTTTCTTCAATGCCATAGTAGTCTGGTAGGTAATGAATAAACAGTAGGTATTTTCCATTAACGTCCCTGAATGTATCGTTTATAGTAGCTACAAGCTGAACAATTCCTCTCTAATGATTAATTATGTTTTATACAATTTGCTGGAAAATACTTTTTATTAATAAACACTTCAAATGTCTTTACATTGTGTTATAAAGTATGAACCACTTTAATGTGCTTTAGTTAACGGTGGCTTAAAGTAAATTGTTACCTTTTTCTTTTGCTAATATTTGTGTTTCAGGTGTTCTTTATTTTATTCAAGATAATTTGGGTCAAATTCACACGCTAGATCCAACATATATTCAATGTCATAGGAAGCACTATTCATAACATATAATTAACAAGACACTTTGTTTTAAAAGCACATTACAGTATGTGAATGCAGAAGTGAAAACATGTATTAAATGATGATATACATAGTATGGGTATAAGCTCACATACATCCTTGGTCCATCGTCCAGTACTACTGAGCTGTAGACCAAAAGGGAAACAGCATAGCTTAATGGCATTGTCCTGAGCATACTGATGTCTAAACCTGTTTCAGAAGTTTAAACAGAACATCATTTTGCTTCAGAGTAGACACTTGTGAACATTTCCTCTTCCCTACTAGTGCTGATAAAGTACTTAGTGAGATCTAGTACCGACTTGGGAGCTGTAAGAGAAAGACAAAGTTATAAAACAGATAAAAGATATGATTTGAAAGTACCTCAGACTATGAGAAATTATAATTCCAGTGTCTTGCTGATAAAAGAGCTATTTAAAGTCTTGGGCAAGCCTCATAACCTGTTCAACATAGTTTCATTAGCTCTCAGCTGCTTGTGTGTGTGAGCAACTGTCCACTGCAGGACTTGCTGGATTGTATTGGTAGGTAAAGAGTCAAGAGAGAAGGTAAAGATTGCAGGTCTTAAAGTAGAAAAAAGTACATCTAAAAAAAAATATTTCTGCTTCTTGCAGTGTTATATAAATATGTATATATATGGGGTTACATAGGGCGGTGAATAAAGCACATACTGTACACCGAAGCAGTTTAGTTTTTAAATAGGTAATATTAATAACAAGATAAACACTACATCATCTCAGAACAAACCAAGTGCTCTTTATTCCCTGAATAGGCAAGGCTGTTAAACATTTATTCAAATGGCTTTGCTTTCCCACCTTCTGCAGTGCATGCCTCCCTCCTGGCACTGCCCCAAAGATCCCGGTGTCAGGATGATGACATGGTGTCCAAAAGGCATGCTCTCAGTATTCACAATCTATTAACGTGAATGGCAAGGTCCCCTTGTCTGAATCCTTCTCCTCTCTTTACTCTGATCCCCATCTGAAACCAACTTTGCATTCCCACTGATCAAAGTGCACCAACTCACAACACAACCATCCCTCAAGGATTCCAGAGTTGGACAAAAAGAGGCATCCTGCCAAGAAAATAAATTATTCTCTCAAGCAAATAGCTGCATATGAATATTTTATTACTGATTTAAACTTTCCTGCTATGGATAAGGGGAGGGAACTGAGTGGGATAAAGTGTTGTGGTTGAAATAGGGGGGATGGTTTTAAATTAATGTATTCATATAAAAACAATCCTTTAATCACCATATAGTTGTTGGCTCCTCAGCTCTGCTGACAGAAAGGCTAATCCCATCTGCTTGCAGAGCACAAGGAATCAATGGTTGTCTACTAACATGTGTTTTTATTATTATTTTCCTACCCTGTGAAAATAACTAAGCTAGCTATTTTTTAGCATTCTCCTGTGCTTTTCTTGTCAGCAAAGTGATTTTAGGGATATGTCTGCTAGTTATTTATCTTTGGCAAAGTCGACCTACATCAATCAGTACTGATTTGTTGCAAATGGCACATCTAATGAACACTTTGACTTCTTGGCAGCTAATAATTTAAGAGCACTGAATTTAACTTCTTGATATGCCTGGTGTGCCTCCGACTTTCATTTCAATATTGAGACATTGAGTTGTTTGACTCAGACAGAACATATTTTCTAACTTCTGTCTTTGTTGCATTGCCCTGTGTAATGCATTCACAGCACAAAGCATCTGCAGTATTAAAGAATTCCATTGCTATACAGTCACCCTAAATTGCTTTTACTAAAAAGCTAAGGCTTAATGCGCCCGACCGACATGAGGCATTTGAGTAAACGCATTGACAGTCAGTCCTCACAGAACTGAATGTAACTGATAAGAGAATCCATTAACTCTACTTTCCTTCTGTTTCATTCTCTTACTCTCCCTCAATCCTGTCCAAACATTTTTTTTTCTGCGACCAATGAAATACTATTTGATTATTTCAGCACATGGAGTCAGTGTTGGAAGAGTCCAACAATTTGCTAATTTAATGCTGCTGCCATATTCTGAAATAGAGTCTGAGTGAAATGCAATCGTAGGGTCTGTATGTGTAATCCTGACCAGTAGCAGGGGGGATGAGGATTTTTTCCCATTAATGAGTTATGAAAGCACAGCAGATGGACTGGGATGAGCTAACATTCTTCCTTGTTAATTGAGTGACTTTCGAATAAGACCAAAAAGACCCAGACCGGGTTCTGAAAGAAGCAAGATAGAGCATCTATGAGATTAGAATGATAATTTGTTTCTGTGTGCGGGTGTATCCGTCCACTTCGGAGCCCATTTCATATTTCTAAAGCTTGCTAATTCCTTCACAATATGACCAATTAGCATAATCATGCTGAAGATGATGCTCCAGCAGAGCCACTCGGCCCACCTTCTTGCTGAATCACTGTCAGTTTTCCTCTTTTCGTTTCAACTATACAAGCACTCACAAATCATTGCAGCAGATTTTGGAGGTCAGCTATCAATATGGGAATACATCTATACCGCAGAGCAGAAGTCTCACAATCTGTAACCTATAACTTCTTGAAGCCATTTCCCCTCACATCCTGGCACACAGTGTAACAGATGGCTAATAAACACATTTGCTGCCTAAAGCCCGGCGCTGTAGTGTTAGTAAAATTCAAATGAGATATAGCAGTGACACTCTCTGTGTGAGATCACTGGTGCAACTGAGCAGTTGGAAATACTCATTGCTCCATCATTAGACTGGCAAACTTGTATGCATGGAGGGGAGCCATGCTGTGGGAGATGTATTGTGTTGTGCAGGGTCAAGGAAGAACAAAAAACACATTTCATGAATTATTGAAAGAACGGACCTGCAATGGGAAAATGCTTCGTGGCCCTTGCTGGTAGATTGGACCTGTGGGTTGCACACCATTCAGTTTTCACGCCAGTTATAGACAGAGCAGCATTCATAATGTGCATCTGAAACACACCAGAGGCCCTAAGAGGAAGAGAGTGTATGTGGCCTCTGGTGTGTATAAGATGGACAGGTTTTCCGGCTCATATAGGCTGAAAGTGCTGCCTCTATAGTGTTGTTGACAACCCCACCTGGTGTTAAAGGAGCTACACACGATATTCAGAGCCACAAGCAAATATGGAAGTGGCTATAAAGAAATGGCCACAGATACAGTGCTTACAGAGCTATCAGCGTTAATGGAGGTTTAGCTCACACACACCAAGGAATTTTTCTCTTTTTTTTTTCACACTGGCAATATTTTTCTCCTTTTCTTAACAATTGAGAAAAATGAAAAATTGATTTAGATAGTCAGTGATCCACATGTTTAATAATAAATTAACCTCCACACTCAGATTTGTGAATCTAAATATTATGTAGACACAGGTATCAGTGGCATGATTGTGTTGTATGCACGTATATACTGTTTACCTCAATTAATAGATCTTATTTTGTAGAGTGTTTGCATTTAAAAAATATGATCGTCTTATTGGTTGGCACTATAACTGTAGTGATTATCTTCAAAGGGGGACGGATGACTCATTGTTAAAGCTAAGAATAACTTGTTTCCATGGTCACCTGAAATCATATTGTAAGTATTGTTCTTTGATCTTGAGTAGATAAAAGTACACCAAGACAAAATCTAATTGCATGGATTTTTTTCTAAATATATTTGTCAACATTCATGTAGAATATTTGAGCAGATTCTAGACGAACCATATTTGTTTACTTCATTCCGATGTGGTTTCAAACAGGTTGCAATGAAGAGTGTTCTCACACATCCCATGAGCATTGTTTATCCTCCTACAATATACAGAGTCGGCAAGAAAATGAGACCTGATAGAATCAGTTGTTGCCAGCGGCAAAATGGAGGCCGTCAAAGAGAATGGTGGAGGGAAAAAATCTGTGAAAACATATTTGTTACTATGGCAATTAGTGGTGCTGTGTGATTGGAGCAACATAATTGCGTTGCATAATCGTGTTTACAGTCAGAATTAGTTGTTTGTTTAAAATAAGTTTTGCCTGCAGGATTTTATTTGTAATCTGCATAATGTATCTGCCAATTTATGCTGTACATGTTGATTTATGCTGTGATATTTCTTCAAAAATGAATTGTCCTGTCAGCGAATGAAGACAGAAATCAATTTGATTTGTGCTGGCAGTGCTGCCCATCACTTAAACAGAATGCACATGTTAACTGGTGCATTACTGAATATGCAGCACATCTCTTCATCATCCTCTCTAATTCAAAACAGCAGCAAAGTGCACACAGTCAATAGCCCTTATAGAGCGTGACTGTATCATTTACACTGCCTCGATGAAGGGATAAAATGTAGGTTGATTTTTGAGTGTTCATCGACTTGGAAGCAGCTGACAAAGCAACACATATGTTATTATTGTATAATGCACATAATACAAAAGCACACTCACTCTCTCTCTCTCCCTCTCTCTGTATTTGCCCTTGTCATCCAACAAGGAGACAGTGACAATGAGGGCTCGTGTCCTTGGACATGGAGCAAAGCTCTGCTATTGACTGGCATCATGAGCTGCTCTTTCCTCGTTCCTTCCCCACAATCCCTGTAATCCCTCTGTCTTAGCTGCCAACACGACACACACATCAGGACCACAGGGGCATTAGATGGGGGGAGGGGCGTACTGTCGCCACTTATTATATCAGTGCAACGACAGGGCCATGCCTTCACTTACTGACACACACACTTACAAATATGCATACATTAGATGGAGCACCACAGGTGAGCAGAATCACTGAGATCCCAATGGACAGGATAGGCACACAGTGGATTTGCATGCATACGGATACAGTATGACACGTTTACACACAAACACCAGTACCTGTGATGGGTCCTGTCAAAGGCTCTGCTACAGGCCTGGGATGAGAGAACATTTTGTCGTCCGCAAAGGTCACATGGTGCCATCTTACTCTCTGTTGGCACAAAAACAAACTGACACATTTGTAAAGGCTGAATCTGTACCGTTGATTATCTCTCTTTCTCTGACTCCTTCCTGACATTTTGGCCGGTCACAAAGGAGGAGGAGGAGGAGGAGGAGCAGGAGGAGGAGGGTGATATCTCTGTCTCCATCCTGAGAGACTGACACATTGCTGCTGCACTTTTCTTTTCTTGTGCCACGGCTCCTCAATATTGTCAAAGGAAATATCCCATGCATCCCATTCCAGCATGCTACACATGTGTGATTATCATCTTGCTTTTTTTTAAAGCATATGTTGATGTTTTATTGACAACAAAAATGCCCTGTGAGTGATTGGAAATATGTAAAGTAGTGCACAAGGCTTGCAGACAAATACACTCGTATTAAAAAGCCCAGACACAAGGCATGATATGATGTTTATTCCAGAAGCTTATCTCCGACTACAAAGAAAAAAGAAATACTGCTGATGAGATGCTGCTGGTTTGAACACTATACAGTAACAAAAACACCAAAAAAAATGTAGCAAACACCAAAAAAAATGATATATATATGTGTGTGTGTGTGTGTGTGTGTGTGTGTGTGTGTGTGTGTGTGTGTGTGTGTGTGTGTGTGTGTGTGTGTGTGTGTGTGTTATCAGGAAGCAATGAAGGAGAACCACAAGAAGAAGGAGATGGAGGAGAAGATCAAGAGAGCCAAGCTGGCAAAGGAGAAAGCAGAGCGGGAGAAGCAGGAGCGCCAGCACAAGAAGAAGCAGCTGATTGACATGAACAAAGGTATGCCACTTCTCCCCGCACCACCACAGAGGCAGAGACGGGGAGGCAGGTGGGGAGTTAGGACGAGGAGAACAGGAGGATAGAAGAGGGGGTTTCATGGAATTGTGCTTCACACAGATTTGAACTCTGAAGGAAGAGAATAATGTGAAGGAGTGGGGTGAGTCATCTTTTGCAGCTGTGAATATTCCTTATACTTACTCCCATAGCCGATACAATGCTTACAAACAATAGACAGATTATGCTACTTTTAGCTTGTTTTTTTCCATGGTCACATAGAAAGAGCACATTATTCTCTGCAGTAAGATGCACATATATCCAAATGGATAACACATGTAAAGACAGAGTGTTATAATTCAGAATTAGTAACAGTTTCGAAGGGTAGACATTTATAATTACAAAGACTTTGGACACTTATATAATTTGCAATTGTGGCACGCAATATGTAGGTCACACATAAAGACGCGAAGCTGTGGTTGACTTCTAACAGAGGCTCTAAAAGGCTCTAGATTTCCAACACCATCATCCTGTTGTTATTTATCACTGGTCATGTACAAGCAACACGACAGAAAAAAGATCATTCCTCCAGTCTGTGACTATTTGCGGGCAGCGGGCTATATTTATGGTTGTGAATCATTTGAATTACTCTATTGTCCTTCAGCACTGCCAGTAAAACTGTTTATTGATCAGTGTAAGTTGCAGTTGTTCCGACATGAAAAATTAGGGCGACAGAGCTGGATGCCTGTGTCTGGTTATGCCAATGACATTGAGAAGGAATTTCAAGCCTGAAGGGGCTTTGCAAGTAGTCAGTGTGGTCTTTTGTCCATTTTCTGACAAACAGACTGAGATTTCCACAATTCACCAGCTTCTAAATGTCAGCGCCAGCCAAGAACCTCCCTCTAGCTCAGCCACATTGGGAAATATGACAAGACAGTCTTCAGTATGCCACAAACTCTCCAAGATAATTGATGCATGCTAGACTTTTTTTTTTTTCCTGAGCAGTGACCTCTTTGAAAGCTTCACTTTTAATAATCCAACATGGCTGAGCTGGAGGAGTCTGTCTACCCCCCTATCTCATGCTGGCTAACCAGATGGAGAAGGGTAGAGAAGTAGGTATGATATTAAATATTTCTGCCAGAGCAGATCTTGATCTCAGTTTCTGAATGCCATAATATGACTTTCATGAATAAAACATGAGGATGACATGGGCAACATTGCCTGCAGCCTTGGAGATAGTGGGGATTGTCCTCCACACCAACACCTAGCTCGTTGGACTGTCGCAAACACAATGACCTTGGCAGTTATGAAATACACTTGTTTTCATTTCAAATTCAATATATGCTAAACCGAGGCTGCTTTTTCCCCCTTCCAAGGTTCTTACCTGCATTGACTACACATTTTCATTAAACCTTGAATAGTTCATTTTATGTGTACTAACTGGTTTTTATGTGCAAAGCAATTAGAGAAAGGACAATCAAGCTTTTGAAATGGATGATGTGAATGGAAATCTGAGCCAGAAGCAGGTTGGAGGTTACAGCAGCTCTTGTGTTCTCTCTCAGTTTCTCTTCAAGCTGCTTGTTAGGAACACATATAGCACGATATGCAGTGTTTTCTTGTTGCACATTTTTCTTTTCTCTGCTTCTACTCCTCTCCAGTTGACAGCCTTGGCTTGAGAGTCTTGGCTCTTTTTCTCCCATTCTGTTCTAATATTCAATGTGTGCTTCAGATATTTTGAGTTGGTTATTTGAGGAGCCCTTTCACGTCAATATTTCATGCCGAGCATCAGCCGTGTTTTCTGTGAAGGTTGATGAAAATAAGGTAGTGTTCGGCACAAAGAGGCTTTTTTAATTCATCTTACCATTATTTAATCATGGCCAAACATGTCCACATTAATTTTGCATTTGTAAGGTTGAAAGGCTAATTCGTGCACTGAAATAAATCTCCAGTCTCATACAGTATACCTCCTCTTGTGTTCATTACTTTGAGTCTTTAGACAGACAGGCAGACAGACAGACACATGCATACTGTAGATTAGTAGGTCTGCTGACCTGAATATAGCACATTCTTTATGTTTACAAACCCATTTGCATTAACAGATGGAGTAAACATATGGCCATTGTATTAAGAGAAGTATTTACAGGTCAATATCTCTTTAATGGATTTACTGATTTACTTATTTTAATGCTTTAAAGAGCTTTAAATACTGTGTGATGGATATTGTGTTTAATGCAATTTCAAGAGGCTATTTTTGAGAAGGCATAGATTTTATGTCATTTCACAAATTGCGACCTAATCCTCTTCGCTTGAAAATGATTAACAAAGAAATGCATATTTAATGAGAGTTTAATTCATTTAGTTTCTGTCAGGATGGCACCAGATTGGGGGAGGGAGGGGAAGCGGACAAATGCTTTTAGGAAACAGATTTTTTAGTTTTCTTGTTTTTTCCCTGCCATTTCCCAGTTGATAAAACTTGATAATATACCCTCTGCAAGTGCATTGCAGAGGGTATATTATGCTCCTCTTCAACAAGCATGATTGATAGATGAGACAAGTGCCGAGCTAAACGTGTTTTCCTTGTGAAGCATTAGAAATCCCAATGTAGGAAATAGCTTATGAAACCATTACCCGGTCACCCCATTTGTTTTAATTTTCTCTAAGTGGATTCCCATATTCTCTTGAACTGACCAGATGTTCCACATTTACGCAATCACTTTACTTCACTGGAAATCATTGTTTAACATTGTAGAATAAACCCAAAGTAATGTTTTTCTTTTACTGCGGCATATGAAATAATGTCACAAGCAGCATGCACAGTGTGTCAAAAGCCGGAGCATGGTAAAGCATCTGGACTTTTTTTTCTCCAAGGCGAGGAGATGCAGGCCCTCTGGCCGCCTGCTCTGCTGGCATCACGGGGGTCAGTGCTCCCGTCTGGGGCAAGTGTCTGCCCCCACATGTCAACTGTGTATCCCAGTCAAATTCAATGAGCTTAGAACAGAGCCGGAAAGCCCACATGCTTTGAGCTCAATGCAGCTTGGCATAAGGCACATAGAAATAAACAAACAACCAGGACAAAAAAAGTTATTTCAACATGTTATTCAGGCCAGGTACCCAAGAGGAATATTGTATAACTTAGTGTTTAACATGTTCACTGTGAACTTGTCTTAGACTTACTTCATACAGTATTGTTTTCAGTAAGTCAATAGTTGTAGCAGCAGGTGTTAGAGCCTCCACCATATGAACCTCTACAAAACATTGTTATAGCCAACCTGAGGAATATCAAGAGTATATTGGTTGTACAGCAGCCTGCACGTTTTACAACACCCTTTATGGTTGCCCCAAATGTCCGCTATCTTACTTTAGTGCACGCATGAATTGTAATCCAACTGCTCATGTAATATTAGAAGAAATAATGTCCTTAACAACATTTATGTCCTCTCTTACTTGATTGGAAAAAACACTTTTGAAACAACTATGTAAATATAAATACAATTATCCATTAACACCCTAAAACAAATGTGGTTTCATGATTACGTTTTCCACGCAGTGATATATATGTTTTCTATATAACTTGGAGCCCACTCAGCTGCGTCAATACATGTTTGCAACAGCTTGCAGACAGCAGCAGAATGCAGAACCGTTCATTAGGTTGTTCTCTGAGAATATTATAGTGGAAGAATAGGTTCTGTCAAAGTGTTTATGTTAAAATTACGAAACTATTGAACACAATATCATCATCATAAATGTGATTGTCTTTGTTTACGCAACAGCTGGAAGCTGTGTGTACCTCATACTCAATCACCCCGTTAAAAACGTGGGTCTTATTATGTTAAACTTTGCAAAGCAAGAAAGTCAACAATATTTAACAAAATGTCAAATAATTTAAGAACCAGCTGGCAACGAATGGTTCCTTGTCATTTTAACTGAATCAATATATTGGATTGTATTTTGATTTAAATAATTTGTTTCAGTTACAGTTCCATCCTCCTTCCTTCTCCGAAAACCTTTTTTTAGCAAGTGATTGTCGTCTGAGCATATTTCCCGTTCAGCAAGGCCTGCTAGAAGAAGGTCTCTGTGATTCTCTGCAGAGAGCGGTTGGCATTTTGACAATGATGGACCTGCAGCTTCTATTTATGCACCCTCCTTGTCAACCTTTCACACAAGATGAGCAAGTGTTTGTTTACATAAATAAAATTGGGCTCCCCTATAAAAGAAAAAGGCATTTACTTTACTAAATACATGCAAACCAAGTTAGTGTAGGCTTTGACTGCAGTGTCAGTACGATCAATGTTATGTATATATAGTCACACTTGGACATGGTGAATCAAGAAGATTCACATGTAGCATTTGTCAGATAAGACCCCACATCAAAATGTATTGTTCACCTTTTGTAATCTAATTGGCTGATGGATCACTTGTTTTTAATTTATAGTTAGTATTGCCTCATCATAGTGTAGTCCTGTTTGTCCATTTCCCCGAAAGAAATTGCGAGTAACTTTTGCAGTACTTTAATTCAAGTGTCTATTAGTTGGGCATGGCTAAATTGGCATATTTCTATGCAGCTGTCTGTGGCCGGCGATGCCCTGTCAGCAATGACAGTGGCAGAGATGTGGATTGATGGCTTTGTGTGACACTGACAGCTTCCGGATGGCCAGTGCATACCTGCGCCTGAGCCATACCAGCTAGGCGATCATTGACACGCGCTGACAGCCAGTGTTGGGGTGAACAGGTTAGCTATATAAGTTTGCATAGTGTCTCCACAGCACAGCCGACATGGCAAACAATATCACTGGGGGAGATAGCCGTACTGAGACGTGAAGGTCAGAAACCTAAGTAGATAAAAGAAAAGTGCCTTATAAGACTCACCATTCCTCAGCTTAGCTTGGGAAATGAATCCTGTATTAGAACGCTAAAGCTGACCTTCATGTTTGCTACAGAATATAACGAACAGACGAAGGACAGACCTTTCCAGAATGTAATGATGATTTATGGCACTATGCCTTGAA